GCGTTCATTTTGTTGACAGAAAATGCTACAACAGACAGCCTATCAGAAAAGCAGTTTAGGAAATGTGGCTAATCTTTGGTATCCGAGATGAAATGACTGATTGTTGGGTTGCTTTTTGTTTCTTTTTAAACAGCTTAACATGGAATTTCTTAATGAGAATCAGAAATTCATGTGCCTTTAAAGCCAAGTGTTTGGCTCCTAGACTAGAGGCGCGGTATTTCCCCTACGCATGTAGTGGCATGAGGTGGGAAATGAAACAGTGTTTTGGATTTGCTTTGCTTTATTATTTCTAGCACCCACTTGCTGTTCTCCAGAGGATGCCCAGGCACTCGAGGAAAATTTCTGGCTCTACTTGTTTAGCTAATTCTAAAGCTATCGTTAAGGTATTTTAGGTGACAGAGCAACCTTTGCAGAAGAGTCCTGTGGAGTTTGATGCAGAGGAAAGGCTCCCATCATTATGGGAGTCACCCTCAGAACCTATCTCCCTTGGCAGAGACTGGCTATGCAGTGAGTATTAACCAGTTCGCTCGTAACTGGAATTACCGACCATCTCTGCTACAATGCCATGCTGTCCTAGCACATCCTGGAGGTAAATGGGAGATAAACCCCAGATTTACTAACAGTACCTTCCTGTGTCTCTCAACAAACTTATGCCACAACCAGACAGCCAGCTTCCAGACTTAACTTGCATCCAGTCCCCGTTTGGCATTTCCTTTGCTGATTTGGTCCTGCTTGCAGCCCAACCACAGCCACTTGTTAAACATGAGCACAGAGTGAGGTGTATTCACCTGCTCGAGGTGTGTGCTAAACTGGAGAGGAGTATCTGAGCTGTGGGAGACATCAAAACAGGAAAAAAGGGAGTGGGGAGTTCACTGAACCAATGCCCTTTCTCTGCAAGGCTGACTCTTTCTCCAGGGTCCATGCTTGCCTGCCTTCCCCACACTGTTGCATCATCAAGGTGACATAAATTTGGCATAAATTTGGCTTGTGGAGGCCAAGTGTAGGAAACAAGACTCTAGTGAAATGGCACTCTGACTGCTTTAGACACAGGCTTCTGCATTTGAGACGAACACAGTTCAGGCACTGGCCTTGTATATTAAAGATCTCAAATGCACCTTCATAAAGATAGAAGTGACCAACTGACACCCCAGTAAGAGTAGTCTGGGACTGTCCATGGGGTTGGGCATGCACTAAACCTAAGTGTTGTTCCAAAGGAAACAGCTATGGTAGAGTATCAGCCACCAGCTTTGAAAATACTGAGGGAGACGTATAATGTGATATGCATGTAAACAAAGCATGGTGTCACCGGCACAGCAGTATTGCACCACCAGGCCCTAGGGAAAGCCATTCAGCCAGATGGATTTTGGTATTTCAAAAACCTGTGAGCCTCCTAGGCAAGGCTGAATTTAGCATATTGAGCAAACTCCAGAGCCCCTAGGGTATTTCTGTCCAAAGTTCTGCTGGGCCTTTCTGTTACAACAACCAGCATACCCAGTGCAGTGAAATTCTCTCCCCTTTCCCACTGCGCAGCCTCAGGTGACAGGCAGTCATCCGCTGGCAGCCTTCCTACGGTGCCCTGGCAGGGCCTGACACCAGGGCACTGAGATGAGGAGAGTTGTGGACGTTATTCACGTCTGGTACGGTTGCACAGGCAGCTCCAGATTTTAAATGTTTAAATAAAAACTGTTTATCTAAATATATATATATATATATCTGTCATCTAACATCTTCAGCAGAGATAAAGTATCTTATGACATATTTAAATAAAAAATAAAATCTGAATTGAGCCTTCAGTGTTAAAGAAAAGGTGATGTACAGAATAGGTCCCCAACTAGTGCAGTCTCTGGGTGTGGGAGTGCTGACAGAACAGCAGCATTCACTAGGATGCAAGTTGCCCTATAAACGATGCGGACTTTGTTGGCTACAACTAAAACCATATACACAATCGACAGTCACTCACTTGGGTAGCACATTGTGGACAGTCGCTTTCAATGCTCAGAGGAACCCGTGAATGTCCTTATGCTCAAGAATTACTTGTGTTCCAGGCTGCCCTGCTCACCTCCTGGTGCCTGACCCTGCAGGCTGGAGTGGTGCGATTAGTTTGGTGCTGGATAACCCTTCCAGGGCGGTGTGGAGCTGAAGGACCCACCGGTTTCCAGTACAGAAGGGCTTCGAGCTTGAGACTGGTGCGGTGGTGGTGGGAGCAGCAGTCCGTATGTCGTTTTCCTCGCTGGCAACTGCAAACAGGGAGAAGAAGGTGGTTGATGGGGTAGTCACAGGAATGGATTAGTAATGGTGGTGGAGGCCAGCTAAGAGACCCCTTGCCTCTATGCAAGTTGGAGGCTAGCAAACCTTGGCCAGCATGGAGACAGCACTTTGTGAGGTCCTGTAAGCTTTTGGAATTGGAAACACAAATACTCTGTGATCCAGGCACAGTCTGCTTAAGGAGGTGAACCAGTAACAGGTTCAGACTCCTGTTTGTAGTAGTTAAGGGCATCGACCATGTGTAGGTTCAAATGTTTGTGATGTGGGTTGAAACAGCTCAGCGGATAATAGGGTTCATTTTTGCTAGGCTGTGTTTAACCCCATCAGTTCTCCAAAGAAAGCAGGGACTGCTTCTTGCCTTAAATTGTCATTTTCAAAACTGCTGTCCCCTGGGGAGCCCAGATCAGGGGGCCAGTCCAGTGTACACATCCCAAATAGCAGAGCTCAGCTATCGGTCTTCCTGCTAACAAAGTAGAGCAGACACTGGCAGACACCAGCGTGCTGGTGGTGTACACTTGCTTTGTAGAGCAACATCAGTACATCTGCTGGCTGGTGAGATAGCCCTTGTGTGTGCTGTAGAATAGCTAAGCAGCCAGCAGCTTTCCTAGGTTATGTGGCAAGGATAACCAGCTCTCTTGCTGCAGGATTTCCTGAGAGAGCTTCTGTGCTCCATGTTATGCAGGAAATTGCCCCAACCTTAAAAATCAGTGACTGCTGGGTTACAGAAAAATTCCCTGTAACACTGGCCTGGTTTTTCTCAACCTGTATAAAACTGGACCAAAAGAGAAGAAAGTACAATGAAAAATCTAGGAGTGCACAGGACCCAAGTGCTCAGTGTTTTATAACGCAAGGCTCAGCAACACCACCTAATATTTGCTCCCAGATTTTTTGAGGCTTTTTTAAAAAAACCAACCAAACAAAACAAACCCAAAACCTTCATCTAAAAGCTACTGATAAACAATAATATGAGTACACATCCAGCCCAGAGACTGCAAGGTACAGGCAGGCCTATTATAGCCTTAGCCTACACCAGAACATACTCCTCTCTGTGGAAATACCACATCTGCTGTTCTAGCGATTGTATTCAATCTTTTCCCCCAAAAGGTCATTCTTAAGTGTGTTATTGAGTTCTGATTTTATGATTACTCTTTCAATGCGTTTATTTATGGGAAAGAAATCACCTCTTCAAAAACTTGCTTTAATTAATTTTGGCTACAGTAAAATCTGGTAAGTGTTTGTCCATCACTGCAGCTCTGAGCTGCAGCGCTGTGACCGTTGGTCAGTGATAAGAACAGCATGAGCACAAGGGAGAAGGGGCAGCGGGAGTGGGACTCTCCCTCTGGCTCCCTGCCAAGGCCTCAGCTTTGTCACTTGGGATCAAGGGTTGCAGTGGGGACAGTCCTAGCAACAACAGGCAAGTTCATGTGCTGCCAGAACGCATTTTTTCTGCAGAAAATTTGGAATATGCTAGAAATGGTCATTTGATAGTGAGCAGATATGGGACTGAGAGCAGTGCAGCAGCAGGCTTTATGAATGCAAGATATGTTCAGGCAAAACCTGGCCTCAGCCAATCACACCTGCTGGTGGTCAAGTCTACCGGGGCTGCATGGCTTCATCTGCTCAAAGAAGGGAGCACCAGGTTTCTGGAAGCAACTCAGTGCAACAGAGGATACTTGGGCTGACCCCTGGTTTCCCTGGTTCTTTGTTCACTCCGATTTGGATTGAGGGTAGCAAAGGTGCAGACTGTGGCTGTCTAAGGTTAACTTCTTTCCAATTTATAAGGAAAGAAATGGGTTGATAGGGGTTTTGGAGTGGATGGGTAGCTTGAAACCAATTGCTGATTTGGGTCACTCACCGTTTCAGACTTTCACAGAGGCTGGTGGCATCACGAGTTGATTCACCCTGGTGAAGGGAAAACAAAAGTGATATGTGAAAGCTGCGGTTAGCCAAGAAACAGGCTCCTAAAAACATACCAGCCTATTAAACCCAGGTTCCTGTTGCTTAACAATTTCTAAAGAGATAGGACATTAATAATAACTGGCCTGCACAGTGGTATAAAGCTGAAACCCTTTCACAGTGGTGTCTGATAGCAATTCTGACAATTGCTGGAACATGCCAAGTAACATTGCTGACACTAATTGACAAGGATTTAGGAAGATCCCAAAGGCATTCAGACGTAGCAATTGTTTCCCTAAGCCAGTAACAAGACTGTTGAATGGTGTCCTTCAGACTGACAGCATAAATGTAAACAGCCACCACTGATAAAAATTAAATTAAGAAAAAAGTAGCTGTCTCTTCAGTTTTCAGCTCCTGATGACCTGCTGCTCTTCCAGACAGCTGCTCCCAAGTGACGGATGGAGTCCAGCAGGGACTGCAGCATCACCAGGCAGAAGCTGTTCTTGGCAAGGTGCTGTCCTGCACCTCCCGCTGCTGAGGGCAGTGAGGGGAGCAGCTCCCTTTTACTCTGGGGTGGTACCCAGGGAAAAGGCAGCAACAGCTTCACGAAGTTCATCCCTTAGACCTGCTCCTTCTCATGGCAATGTGCCCTGTGCAGTTCAGCCCTCCTCACCAGCAGGTCTCCCTCTGCAGCAGCCCACCTCGCTCTGCCCCACACTGTCCGTGCCTTCCCAGAGCGTGGTCACGTAGGGACAGGAGTGATCGGCTTTGATAGTGCCAAGCACAGCAGGGCATGCGTGGCCTGCAAGAAAGAGAAGTCACCCTCAGACTCCAAGACCTTTGAGACTTGCTTTCTATCTCGGATGCTCGCTGATGTCAGTGGGAACCCCTGGATTCTCAGTAATGACACTGGAAAACCCCCATCTCACCTAAGGACCTGGCTCGGCATTGCCACGTTTGAGTGCTTTTACCCAAATGCACTCTAGCAGAACTTGGCCCATAGGAGAAATCTGAGTTACAAAGTAAGAGGCTTCTCATACCATTTGGCTGTGCTCACTTAAAATAACAAATAAACTGAAGCAGCAGTATTTTATACCTTAGAGGATTGCAGCAGGATTTTGCCATCGCATGCAAAAGCACAGCTGCTTTCTGAATCGGTGAAAAACATGCGCAGGTTTACAGGGAAGAGTACAGAAACCACCACTGCCTGAGGTCCTACCAGGTAAGAACTTCTCAATGCAACATCATCTTCCTTTGGAAAATGCTGATGCATTAAAACTCCTGTGTGGCTCTTCACCAGACTCCATACCTGACCCAGGATAATCTTTTTTGCTGAAAAGGGATGATGCTGGATTCAGATACATGTTCCAGGATAAAAATTAACCAGTGGTTAGGGGATGTCTTCCAAGAAATCTCTGCATCAGAATTTGGCCCAGTTCAGCCTACAGCTCTCAACTCCACACCAACTTCACAGAAAGCTTGTCTCCACGATGCCTAGAAGCCTCTGTGCCTTTTCTGCCTTTCGAGGCTATAAACTTATTTTTGATGCAGGAGCCGACCCAAGTTTCTCTGTGGAGTTACCATGCTTGGTAACCCTACTGCATTGGACAACCACGTTGTATTGAACATTGTAACTGTCAGAATACATCAGAAAGAGAAAACAGATTGCCTTGTAATGCTACAGTCAATACACTCAACTTCAGAAGTGGGAAGTAAACTACACTATGTTAGGAAGCTGTCACAGAATACGAGTAGACTCCAGATGTTTGAATGCGCCACGATGTTGTTTGAAGGTCATGTCCCTTAACATGTAATCCCTTCCACGTTTTTACAAGATACAGAATATATACAGGAAACAGTTTCGCCATTACTTTCTCTTAGCACAGAGAACCCACCTGCGTTGCTGACAGATGAACCATAAACACCCACAAGACTTTCCTTCTATTACTTATAGTTCAGCTTCCTATGGGGTAAAATGTACTTCCCCCATAAGTAGTCATGGTGTCCCCCAGTCATGAGATCTACTCGTTCTTTGCATTTTAACATATTTCTCTCAACTTCTGCTTTATCTCTCTGTTACAGATGGGAACAGAGGCCTAGAGGGGCTAATCCTGAAATGCATTTAGAAAATTTCACGGGAAATTAGACCCTACATGACTTGAGAAGCTGCTGGGGAGAGAAGTGATTTTCCTGGGATTGCATAGGAAATGTGGGCAGAAGAGGGAACTGAAATAGTCTCCCAAATTGCCGACAGCGCAGTCTTCATTATCTTGGAAGCACCGTGTTGCAGACTGTGGTCCACTGGCTTCTGCACAGCCTGGTATCAACGAGCCTCAGCTTACAGGTGGCAGCAGGGCAGCTGTGATTTTTTTTTTTTTTTTGTTTGTTTGTTTTTAATCAAACCCACTAATAATAAATTTTAGATTCTCTTAAGTGGTAAAATGTAGTACACGGACTTAAGCTAACAAGGCTTAAGAGCATCTAAATACCTGCTTAAGTCCCACTTGCCTTTCTAATACCGATAATCCTACACTGAATAGATTGTCGCTTCCGATTTGGAGATACCTGCTGACTAAACATTGGTTCCTAAATGGTTCTATTTTCTCTGCAGTGTTTTCTCAAGATTGTGAATGTTTTCATTCCTTGGAGAGAGCAGGCTGGGAACCACTCTGTTATTTCCTGTGGGGAAGGAAACTTCCCCAAATTGCCCTTCATGAACAGAAGCTGTACAACTTTTTTAGTTGTTTTTATGGGCTGCTCCAAGCAGTTAAAAAGGTGGCTGACTCCTTCTAACCCCATCATTTCCTCCCCTGTCAAACCTAAATATTTCTCCTAGATCCTATCAAACCATTTCCATGTAGTGTGACAGCATCTGTAATTCTGAAGTATTTATAAGACTGACTGTTTAATATTAAACTGCATGGTCTAGAGCTGTTAAATATTTATACTATGTAAAATGGCTCTAATTTCACAGCACCTCACCCTGTTAGAGAGCTGCACAAGAAAAAGAAGGCAAATTTAAGATAACAGACGAGTGGTCAGGATCTTTTACAGGTCAGCTGTACTCTGCTTTGTTTCAGGAGTTGTGCAGAGATGATTCTCCAAATGCTCTGTCCCCTTCCAGTCCAGCCAGTCACCAAGTCAACCAATACTGGAGACGACAGTTTGCAATACAGCCAGCACTGCTGTACAGTTCCCAGCATACCCAGTGCAGTGAAATTCTCTCCCCTCATGAGGCCTTTGAAAGTTTTTGCTGCCCACATCCACTCCAAAAATGCTCTGCTCCCCCCTGTGCTAGCAAGAATAAAATCCAGGTCTCCCTTCTCACCTGCAGCTGCTCCAACAATTTAGGGTGAAGCAGCGGCAGGATATATGTCCCACTGGCTTTTCGTAAAGTACAGGCTACCGAATGTTTCAGCTCTGTGAATTTATTGTCTCTGTTCCTGAGCTCAAACTCAAGCAAGTAACAGGACCTCAAGGAGAACACACTTGCAGGCTTGTGTGTGTGGCACCATCACGCGCGAGACCCCGAGAGGAAAGGCTGTGCTTATATAAAGCTTTTGTGAATGCTGTCAACTCTGTTTAATGTTAAGTCTCATACATAACTTAAACAATACACATATTTTAGTATCCTACAGCTTTCCAAAAGCCCTGTTTTCTTGCCATCTAAACAAGTCAGGCTCTGGCTTTTGTAAGAGAAGCATATTAGGAAATAACTTCCTAATTTTTACAGCCTGCTGTACTTAACATCACTTAAATTTTACAACCAACAATAAAATGCTTCAGTGGGATCCTTCTAGCCTGCAAATAACTCATTTTTTTGACTAGCAAGAGCTCATTCAGCAGACAAGAGTATTGGGGCTACAGGGGCAGCTAGATCACTGTATTTAGCAGCCTGTGATTAAGGATCCTTCTCGTTCCACAGGAGAGAACGCTGTGTTTCTGAAGTACCGTGCAATAGGCTGTGAAGTGCCTGTTTGAGGCGGCACTTTAGGAAGGGATACCAACGCTGCAGTCACTGATGGGACCCTTCAGCACATTCCTCCCTGCCAGACCTTAGTGTGTGTGTGTACCTCTCCAAACTGCCTTGTGAACACACTGAAATCCAAAGTTTTACATGGAGAGACATCCTTGACAGGTAATGAGACCTTACGGCCTTAAATCTGTGAAAAACAAGTCTCTCTTTCAAATACAGCTAGTTAGGGGTGGGGTGTTTTGGCAGGAAAGCATTAGAGCCAGCGATGCACTCCAGCTGTGTATCAGCCCAGCCAGGTGCAGCATTCTGCAAGTCCGCTGCTGAAACTCATCAGTAGCATTCAAATCTAACCTTGCTGTCTGAAACTGTGCAAGAAAAGCAGAGGCTAAGGATTGTCATTTGTAGCTCCAGACCTGCATGATTTTCATGTGTAACAGTGAATTTTATCGACTGATAAACGAACACAGAAGTTACTTGCAGACAAGGTTGGCTCATGCCGTTGTTACCGCTGTATTCCGGCAGATATCTGGCAAAACAATCATGGAGCAGGAGAGCTGGGGCAGCCTTCCACGCTGGGTTTCCTGACCTTCAAATGCACACAAACTTGGGTCCATCAGGTAAGCTAAAACCCTCAGGTAGAAGTAACACTGTCACCATAATCCCCCTGATGCTTACAAGAGGACAAGTGTAAGGTTCATCTAGAAGGAGGGAAGAGAGAGCTAAAGCAGAGGAGCATAACGTAGGCTTAGGCACAGGCCACGTCCTCTCTTTGCACAACCACCACCTCCTAAATTCTCCGACTGTGGTTCAGAAAGGGAGAAATGCCAGGAAGGTGTAGGTTTTGCATACTCGCTCACTTCATCCCCCACCTTCTTACTGCAGGGATCAATTCCCTTAAGTAAATCCTTGCTGAAGCCAAGTGCCAAACCACATTAACGTTTTAGTAAACAAAGGAGGGAAACGGACACAAGTTTGCAGACCGTCCCACTCATATTTTCCACCCCTGTCTGCATACTGTCATCACCCTCAT